GTGGTGAGTGGTGTTTGTGTCGTGTTATATATATATATATATATATATATATATATATATATATATATATATAATCAACAGATAAGTGGTGTGGGTTTTTCGAATGATCATAAACAGAGTTGGATTGGAGAAAATTTCGACGTGCGTTGAAAAATAAAATAAAATAAGAAAAAAAAACATCCATCTGGATTTTAAATCAATCCACCGAATTTCAGATTGAAAAATTATATTCGTACCCCAAATTCTATTAGGGCGCCCTCTTACTTAAATTTTATTATTCTAAATTTAAACTCTGAGTAAGAGGATGATAATATACGAGAATTTAGCTAAAATAACAGAGTAAAAAAATAAAATTAGGAAAAGGATTTTTTAATTTTAATTGCCCAAACAATTTAAGATTCTGCATTAAAAAAATCCTCTCAGGTCTTTTTTACGTGTTCAAAAAACTCTTCCACAGCAACCCAACAATGGCAGTTCTCAACATCTCTTCCTCACCTCTCACAAATAAAAATTTTTAAATTGTCATTTTATAAATAAAATTTTTCTATTAAATTATTTTTACAAATGCCTCATAATATACAATCATCTTGGACTTTTTTTTTAAGAAAAGTCGTACACTCGTTTTAAGTTAGAGAAAATTAGCACGTACTTGAAAGTATACACCGCATAATTTTCCGCTCACCGAAGAAGTGGTGTATGGTGATGATAAGTTTCACTTATTTTCCTTTTACTTTAACCAAATTTACTCTGATTTTTAGATTTAAGAGACCGAGAAATATTAAAAAATTAAGAAATTTGTATTACAATTTGAATTAAAACGTTAGAATTTTCATCAAACGTGCTTTTTCTTCACTGTTGCAATAAAAGCACTAGTAAATGAGCAAAATTAAAAACTCTCCAAATTCATAGAGTAAATGGGCAAAATACGCTAAAATTTACCAAATATGAATAAGGAGAAGGTAGTAAATAGTAAATTTTAAAACTAATTTAAAAATATTTGAAGTAAATAGTAATTTACATGGTAAATTAATTAGTTACATCATAAATAGTTTATTTACGACTGGTAAAAATATTTTTTCTACATAAATTTTTTTTACGACTGAATTTTTTTTTCCACGTAAATAAAGATTTTTTAAGATTTTTTACCATATAAATTATTTTTTTACCTGCGTAAATGATTCATATAACACGCAAACTGTTATTTACTTCAAATAGTTTTAAGATCTGCTATTTACTTAATTTATTTTTAAAAACTGCTATTTGTTATAGTTTCTAATTTCTGTGAATGTATCTATTTATCCATTTCTCAAAAAAAAAAAAAAAATCAATGGAGTTTGACCGTTTGAAAGTCATATTTGAAATTTTTTTATTTTTATATTTATTTATTTATTTGTGTGTGTGTGTGTGTGTGCGGGTGGGGGTGGGATTGCGGGAAAGGATAGCTTTCAAATCCGCATAGGAGAGTAAAGGGCGTACCACTAATCTCGTTTTAACGCTACATAAAAGAACGTCACTTTATCTCCAAGCAAAAACTTAAATAAATATTAAATAGATAGATAAACTTTAACAAAAAGCTTACCATGAACACCACTATGCAAGATTGACAAGTTCTTATGACACTATAAAATAGTACTCTTAACGATAAGCTATTTTTAAAAAAATTCTCATAAACTTTTTAAGCAAAAATTATCTCAGGTTCTCCCCAATGAACTCAATGATCAGCAAAGAACAAGAAGAAGAATTTTACTACAAAGCATATGAATGGATCAAGTGCCGCTTCCTTTATTAGAAATATAAGTAATATATATAATACATTTATATAAGTATATATTGTGTCCCAAGATATTTCTCCAACAACCTATTGCATCACCAGACAAGGAGAAGCTCTATTTTCTTAAGTGTAGATACAGATATCAGGGAAAATAAAAATAAAGCTGATTCATAAATGAATTTCACAATTCACAGCTTACATGTACAAATAAGTTTCCAGCACATAGTTCCATGGAAACGACGTATATCGATCGGACAAGTTAGAGATTTGAAGTGCTAAACCTAACTAGATTGTGACTCAACGAATGGCTGATAAATAGATAATTACAGCTAAAACACTACCCCCGTTAAAGAAACATTCACATTCTACACACACTGTTATTGTTTCCAGAGCACACCTTCAAATAGTTCTATATTGCCACTGCCTTCGGATGATAACAGCCATGATTCTACACACACTGTTATTGTTTCCAGAGCACACCTTCAAATAGTTCTACTGCCATTGCCTTCGGATGATAACAGCCATAATTCAGTTATTGCCGTTATTTGCTTGCCACGGGATATAGAAGACATAATAAACTCTTTTTATAGTTTCGGCTTCAGAATTAAACGCTGCATTGAACATCAATTTATTATAAAAAAAAAAATTATTAATGTCAATAGAACAAAATTAAAAATCATCTAAACATCCATCAGACCTGACAAAACCTTAATGAACTTATCATTGGTGCAGAGAAAAATCCTCTTTCATGTGAATATGTAAACCGGGACTGAAAAAAGTAGGCCATTATAGTCTACAGGACTTAGGTTAGGCCTAATTTGATATTCGACTAAAATTATATCTCCCAGAAACTGGAGTACAATTCTCTATTAGACAAGAACTTTTGCATCTCATTGACTGCAGGTATATATCATTTGTGACATTGGTCAATATTTTAAACAAAATAGCATATTGTAGGTAGGAGTAGGACAGAGCATCTATTATCAGCTCTAGTTTGCAATGTCATAAATGACGAGTCATGTTTCGACCTTCGGCTGTTCATAATAGGGTTTAAGACTTTATGTTCCATCATAGCAGCACCATGCAAAAATTTAATGCTGACAAATCCAAACATGTTAATGAGATTCTTCAGTCTATGCAGCAGTACAGGAAAAACCACTTTTTTCCTTTTGTTATTGGTGCAATGATCAGACAGGGCATCACTTTGAAGATGAGGAAATGGCATGTTATCAATAAATTCAAGCATAATGACATGTAATGATCGAAAGGAACAGGGAATAAATGCTTACAGCTTTTATAGCTGCTCACGAATGTAAGCCATTGATCTCAACATTGATCCTAGTGTATCTCGGGAGACTTGAAATTTTACCTCCGTTTCTCCAGTTGTTGTCATTGTATCTTGGAGCTAAGGAAATATAATAGAGTAAAATATAATCAGACACTCGAAACACGTTTCAGGAAGAAGGCAAAAAGAAAAGTGGAAAGCGCAACTCACATGCTATTCAAACTAGTACTCACGTCCTTTTTCAAACTAGTCACTGCAAGAGAGAGAGTAGTTTGCAAATGGTCATCGAGTACTAGCTTGGATAGCAACTGAGCTGCATACAAAAATAGTTTCCGGACAAGAAGTCCTCACAAAATTGCATCAAGGAGAACCAAAACGACATTCAAAGCAGAGACATTAACAACCCATTACAACCTCTTTATTCAACAAATCAGAGAAAAGGAAATCTTTGAAGACTATCACCGAAAGCCCACAAAAGACGCAAAATATTTAGCTTTTTCAAAGAGGGAAGCAAGTCAATATCCTTATCACCAAAAATTCTTCCATTCCCCTCGTCCAGATAACCCACAGCAAGGATAACACTATACTATTCATTCCACATGACCTTAGCTGCTGTGCTCATTAGGTACAATTTTTTAAATTAGTAGTTTCCTTTTCCCCTTGTGGGATTAGAAGTGGTAGCCTACATATATTGACAACTTTCTTTCAGATTATGAGAAAAACAAAATAAAAAACCAAGTTTCAGATCATTCCGCAGCACTAATGTATATAGGAATTGTCTCATGCGTGAGATACCAAGGACACGCTAGATGCGATATCTAGGCAAACACTTTCTTCTCCTCCTTTTACTACTTTCACGATCCCTACATATTCAACTTGTTTCTAGTAATATAAACTTTGTCAAGCACCATCAAAAGCTCTAATTTCTACCATTGAAAACCATAATGCAATTAACCATCCAGTAACCTACTTGTGGAATAACCCTACTTTAAAATCAATGCTTTTCCATCAAACTGCAACAATTAGTTGCATTTATAAATCAGAGCATGGAAAGCAATCATGGACGAATGTACTTTCAGTGGCCGACACAGTTAGTACTACTAGACTACATCTGCAATAGATCATTACAATACCCCATAGATACAGGCCATACAAATACCGAGTAGATTCTCCGTAGTTGGTTGGCCTGATACATTTGTGACTTTATACAGGCAAAAGGCAATAAGCATAATGGGGTGCACCATTTTGTTATTATTTTATATTTGTTTACAGCAAACAAAGAAAAGCATCAAGAGAACTCATCACTTCAACCTGTTCCAAAAGTTTCAGTTAATATTAGAGAACGCGCAAGCGTTTGAGATGTGTTTGGATACCTTTAGATTGATGACGGCAACTTTGTTGGTAGGTGTAGAGAGCTGCTGACTGATGTAGGCCATGGATCTCAACATAGGCTCCAGCGTAACCCTTGTCAGCCTAAATTGGACTTCCGTCTCTCCTGCAGGGGTCTGGCCATACTCTTGCAGCTACATCAGAGGTAAAAGTAGATTACAATGGCAAGATGCCGAGAGAAACCTATTTTAGCAACTTATTTCAGCTGTTACATGGCCCAATTAAAATGAAAGTAAGAGAGCAACCAAATAAATAAAATAAGAATTAGAGAAAGCCAGTAAAAATAAGTTGAAAATTTATCAAATTCAATACCTTCAAGTTTATTACGGCTACTTTGCTAGCTTGAGTTGAATTCTTGTTTTCTATAACCCAAGTCATGGACTTAAAACAAGTAAGAACCACCTACATAGAAATTTAAAAATCATCAAATCTCCAGATACTAACTTTTATCGAAACATCTTAGCACCATAAAGTGCCCAAAAGAACTAAACAATATTTTTCATTTTCTTACCGTGTTATCAGAAGGGCCATTGTCGCGTTGAATAGACACAGAGTTGGGCTGATTCAGATTAGAACCAGGAATACCGACATCATTAAGATTAAAATGGTGTGGCATTGCTTCTTGCCAAGGCCATAATGAGGAAACCATTTCCAATGCTGGCAAATGCCCTCTCTTGTTACCTTCATCCTGACTATTTCCACTTCCCTGGGAAGTAGGTGGTGTGACTTTAGTAACATTTTTCTTCACAACAGAAATTTTTTTCCCGCCCTCTCGCAAAGCGCCCATAGCTGTATTATAGGTCTCAACAGAAACTGCCCCTTCCTCTGCATATTTAATTGCTTCCCGACATAAATTGTTAAAGCGCACGGTAAGAGTCTCAATAGCTTGTGGATCTGTACTTGATTCATCCTGTCCAACTGCAGCTTTGGCATTCCTTGTCCAACGCTTCAATATATAATGTGAAGGAAGGGTAAGAACGTTTGTTACAGTGAACACAGTTAATATATGTCTACATAGAATACCAGAATACTCAAACATCTGACAGCTGCAATTTGCTCTCACTTCTGAGACATTTAAAGTGACTATGTACGCTTTGTCATCATGTTCATATTTTGCAACTCGGTACTTACTCACTACCCCATCACCTTCAATATTATTTGCAGTATACACAAAAGTTTCGACTAGTTCCTCTTGAAACTTGGCAAAAACTTTCTTCGTGTAAAGGTTGGCTGCCTGTTGCTCCATTGGTGATGGCGTCTTCAGCACTGGTGTCGTACAAATTGTGTCATAATCAGCTTCTATTTCTTTTTCTAACGAATGCTCAAGAACTCTCTCATACTGTTTAAAAAATAGTGGTATGGTGGTCTGCTGATTCACATAACCATCGAAGAAAGAACTAACACCTTGGCTTGAGGAAAGTGCAGCAAAGAATGTACCACGGAAATAAACTGGGGCCCACTGCTTTCGAGCACTGTATACAGCCTGCAGCCACTCATTTCTGCAGAGGTCATATCTATCAAGGAGAGATGCCCATGATGATTCAAAATCCTCAATGGTCTCTGAAAAGTTCACGCAGCTGTACAGCTCCCCGTAGAATGAAGGATGAGCCAGATATATGTGAGCCAATCTTTCCTGCCCTTCTCTCAAGATATGCCACTTGCATATACAATGACGAGTTTCTGGAAATACATGAGCAACTGCGACCTGTATGGCCCTATCTTGGTCCGTTGTTACAGAAACAGGGGGGCGGTCATTCATTGCAGACAACCAGGTCCTAAACAACCAAGTAAACGAAGACTCTGACTCATCCAAAAGCAGCGCACAACCAAACAATACCATCTGACCATGATTATTTACACCTGTGAAAGGAGCAAATGGGACCTGGTATTGATTTGGTCTATACATTGTGTCAAATATTACAGCATCACCGAAGCAGTTATACGCTGCCCTTGATCGTGCATCAGCCCAAAAGACATTAGTCATGCGGTTATCATCATCTAGCTGTATTGCATAAAAGAAGCCTGGGTTTTCAGCCTGCATCTTTTTGAAATAGTTTAGAAGATTCTGTGCGTCTCTTCCAAGAGTTCTCTTTCGGCTAGAAGGCCTTATATAGTTTACTGGCCCAATATTCCTTGCTTGGCGATTGAATTCTACAGGGGAGACACTCCTAACTCCACGGTTAGGTTCGTGAGATACATGATTGCCATCCACGGAAACGTAAACATCACTTGAAGTATCCAATGTATCAGCCGCGTTCTTTGTAGCACCAGCAAAATGTCTGCGAGGTCGAAGGTGATGAACCTTACCAGAACTAGTCATTGAATGGTTGTGGTCCTCAACAAACTTGGTCACAACCCAACCATTTGCATCATTTCTCCCTAATCTTAGCATAGCATTGCAGCTTTCTACATTTTTCCTTTTAAATACCTCTCTAGAACAAGCAAACTCCCAAGTTACAATTGGTCCATCAGGCTTACTACGACTGAATTGACCAACATGAGTGCTGAAACCTACACGTCTGGCATATGAATCATAGAAAATCTTGGCAGCATCTTCTGTGTCAAACTCCATGCCCACATGAGGTTTAGAATTGCCATCATCCTCTTGATTACTACGATCTCTTCCCGTCGAACTTTCATTCACGTGTTTTTTTCCACCTCCATTCAGTTCAGTGCTTTCTCCCACAGAACGTCCCCTATTTTCGCCTCCACCATCCACCAATTCAACGTCCATGCCAGATCAATTAACTTAATAACTGTATAGTTTGTTACTTCGTCGACTACAAGAAAGAACTCGTCATTATCCTAGCTGAAACGAAAACTAAAGTGACCTGCACATGTCATCCCTTTATAAGCAAGACTGTTATATATCTTGAGAAAAAGATAGACAATGGAACTAGCTAAATACCATAAACCAACAATTATGTGCTTTAATATCATCACGATCCTAATCAAAGATCAACCTAAGCTACAAAAGATAAAGAAAGCCTATGCTAGGTCAAAGAAACGTTCCACTGCCAAATTTTCACGCTTTCAACAAAAAATTCTCACGAAATATGACTAATGTATTCCGAATTATTAGGAACTCTAAACGGCAAAAGTAAACCTGAATCAGATAACATAGAGGCGAACTTCAAGTTGAACTAGAGCTTCGCAAAACATAAATCGATGAGCGGAAAAACACAAACAACAATGACAATAACAACAAAACCAACACCATCACTAGAATACCAAAATGTTTGTAACGCTTGCCAAATCTACTGATTTCATAAAACCAAATAAATCCACATAAAATGGGGTTACAGTGGTTATCAATATTTTCTAGCACAAGACCAAAACAAGTCATGGAAACTCGATTCCTCTCAAAAGCAGAGGAAGTACTTCCGAAATGCATAAAGACCCACATTGTAAATCTCCATTAACGAATTCAAACAACAACACCACCAGCACAATTTCCCACAAACGAAATTTCTCCGTTTTCCAGAATCAAAAGAGGCGTTAACTAAATCACCGAAACTTTCCCGAAAGTGACTCAATTATAACACAAATAATAAGAAATGAAAAGACGCAAACGAAAGAGAATCACCTGGCTTATTGGAGTCCCGAAATCAAAATTACGCAATCTTCTTCTTCTGCAAAGCCTTTGCGAATTAGGGTTTTTGTTTTTGTTTTCGTTTTCGTTTTGAGTCCCACCCAGCTCTCTCTCTCTCTCTTTCAAGTTTCAACCCTCCAAACCCAGAAAAAGGGTCGTTTCTAATTTTCCTTTTCTGTTGACAATTTTACATTTCTGTTTCTCATTCATTTTTTTTATTTCAATTTTAATTTTCTTTCCCCAACTAAAAAAAAAAATGTTTCGAAGGAAAAAGGAAAAAGACACTCTTGCTTTTCATGGTGTAAAGTGGATAAATTATGTAAGTCGCGGGCACACGTGCGTTAAAGAATAGCGTACGACCGATGACAATATGTCGTTTTTGCATTTACAGAGAACGACATGTCAAGTACTAATTTTGTCCAAGTCCGGGGACCACATATTTCCTACATAAATAGGGAATTAAGGACCGTTTTGTTTAGGAGCATTTTCAAAATAAGTTTTGTTTTGGCCATAAAACCTTTTTTTTTTAATAATGAAGAATAGTTTTAAAAGTTGTATTTAGTCCATCAAAAAAATTGTATTTAGTCATTTTTGTGCGATATTATTCTAAGCATGAGAAAAAAAGCGAAACTATATGTTTTATTATATTTTTGAAAGTATGTTTGGAGTAGATGAAATACCTATTAATAAAAAAAATAGTATTTTATATTTAAATAATTAACCCTTAGTAATTAATAATTAATTAGTGAATAATAATTAGTATTAGTAATAACTAATAACTAATATCCTTTTAAAAAAACTAATAACTAATATACTATTAATTAATTAGTATATTGGTGATAGACTTCTTTATACTCCTATTTTTACATTATTGTTCACATATTTTGGTCCTTTTGATTATTTATTTAATTGCTTATTACTAATTATTTAATTATTAATGAATTACATAATCAATATTTAGTAATTATTCCTTGAATAATAATTAATTACTATTTATTAATATGTTAAAAATAATTATTAAATTTATTGTTTCCTCCAGTACTAATTATTTATTTAATTATTAGTAATTATTGATATAATTATCATTTGTTTACAATAATGTTGATAAGTCCTAGAAAATGAAATCAGAAAAGAGGAAAACAACTTTTGGGCGTTTTTCAATTTGACCTGCTACATTGCTAGAGACAAGCCCAAGCAATGGGACATTAATGCTCTTCCGCAAGTTAAATTTTGTGTACAATAGTAATCGTTCTACTCGTTATTTCCCAACATCCATGATTTTTACTTAAGTCTCAAACCAAACTGTGTATCTCGTTGCTGACCTAACTGATTTACTTGTTCAAACTTGTTAAGTATTTTTATTAGTTGGTAATTTATTGACAATCTTGTAAAAATTCAAAAGACAGGTTCAAGAAGATTCAGAATCAGATTTGAAGTTAAAGTTACGGATTTTGTTAAGTTGAGATTTGAAAAGATAAGGATAAAAACTTGATCAAATGAAGATAAGATATGGTTTTGATATTTGCAGCTTATCCAATTCGTGGGAATTGAAGTTGGCATTAATTTAGATTTGTTGAATTTGCTATACAATCCAAATTTGAAATTGAAAAGTGTTTTTGGAGATCAGATAAAGCTTACATAGGGATCGAGTTGTTTTCATATTTGAATTCTTGGCTTAATCCGATTATTGTTTGGAGTTGTTCAAAATTAGAGCTTACCGATAACGTTTACAAAAGAATATTTAAAATTACATTATTAAAACCGATTATGGAGTTTGATGCTTTATGTTCATATCATCCTGAGAAATTAGTTTTCCAATAAGGGGACGTTTGGTATGCAGTAATCTTAAGGATGAGAATTGAAATCTGTAATATTACCATATTTGGTACAAGAATTATAATTTTTAGATTCTCAGGAAAGTGATTACCATGGGATTCACTTTCCCTCATTTTAAGGTAATTTGAATACCACCCAACATGGTGTTATTCAAATTCTCAGAGATCTCAAAATCATGAGAATCTTATTATTATTATTATTATTATTATTATTATTATATTATTTATTATTATTATTATTATTATTATTATTATTATTATTATTGTTGTTGTTGTTGTTGTTATTATTGTTATTATTATTGTTATTGT